ACAGAATGACTAAAAAGATGATTTCTTATGGATTTGTTTGTTTATAGATAAGAATATGAAATGTATATGAAATGTATATGAAATGAAGTATATGAAATGAAGAGATAAATGTTGATAATATTAGAAGGGGTATAGAGTCACCAAATTCTAAAGTCTCTCTCTCTCTCTCTCTCTCTCTCTCTCTCTCTCACACACACACACACACACAAACACACACACACAAACACATACAATGTGCACATATACACATGTGTATCTTTATTGTATTGCATTTCCCTTTTTTTCTCTTGCACTTTTTCTTGCTTTTCTTTCTCTTTTCTTGGTATTAGATTTTACTATTATAATCACAATTCTTATATATACACACACACACATACACATCATTCTGCATGTCTCCTTGTTTATCCTTCATGCCCTCCAGCCCAACATTGTTGCTTATACTCCAGTTAACTCTGCATTTCTTTCATTTTCTTCCTTTTAAAAACTGCCCTATTTTTAAAGGCAACCACAAACCAGTTGGCATTTTTATTCCGCAGAGTGTACTTCTTGTCTAGAGGCACCAACTTTGATTAGTGAACAAGTTTATTTCATGTTACAGGTAATTTATAAAGCTATCAGGCAACATTGACCTCAACTGGCTTCTTTCTCATTTTTTTCTGACATGTTGGTTGATTAAAAGTCTGTGATAAACAAAATTCAAATATTGAAGCAAGATGATTGCATAGTCATGTTTTCTTCATAGTATTTTTTGCCAAGAATGCTGCAAAGATGTATTTTGTTCGTTTTTAAAATTAACCTATTTCACTTCTCTGACAACTTTGTGCAATGGAGTACATCTGGATAACACACTTCTTAAATTTAGTAATGTAGTTCTCAGTTAAAAGAAATACACCAAAAAGGTTTATTTTAAAGGAATGTTTGGGAAATATATATCTTTGGGGGTAAATGCATATAACATAAAGGTATACTTGTGTTTAAAAATAATACAAAACAGAATGATTTAATTTGTCCATCCCTAATTTTATTATATGGTATGAAAGAAATAGATCAGAGAGGCCAGCTTTTCCCACATCAAGTATCCTGTTTATGGAAGATCCTTCTGTTGCCAGGTATGCAAAGATAAGCATTAGGAACAGCATTTAGGCTTATATACTGCCCCATTGCATTTTACAGCAGTCTCTGGGTAGTTTACAACAGGGGTCCCTAACCCCTGGTCCATGGACTGGCACCGGGCTGCAGCATGCCAGCAACCGGGCCGCGCAAACAAGCAAAGCCCCATCCAGCACACGAAACCATGCCCCCTCTGGTCCGTGGGAAAATCTTTCTCCACAGAACCGGTCCCAGTGCCCAAAAATTGGGGGTCTCTGGTTTACAATGTAGAAGCATATTTGCATATTGCCCCCAACAATCTGGGTCCTCATCTTACCAAACCGGGAAGGTTGGAAGGCTGAGTAAACCTTGAGTCCCATCAGGAATGAACTCCAAGCTGTGGGCAGAGTTAGCCTAAAATACTGACCTTTAACCACTGAACCATCAGAGATAAACGGCTCCTGAAGATGTGGGTTCTAATGAGCTCTTATGGCCAGAGCAAGTTTTCAGGTGAACATCAGGAAGAGCTTACCAATGGTCAGAGCTATGAACAGTGGAACAGGCTGACTTTGGAAGGGATTAAACAGAGGTTGGATGGTAATCTGTTAAGATGCTTAAGAAGTCAAGTTCTATGCTGGGCAAAAGGATGGATAATCCATCTCCAAATTCACTCCAATCCTTAATTCCTAATATAACTATATTTATAGATTTCATTATTTTTATAATTAACTCAAGACGGCAAAGATATTTAGCCCTCTTTTCCCCACAACAACAACTCTGTAAGTTGGGCGGAGAGAGTGTGACTGACCCAAAATCATCAAGCTGACTTTCGTGCCTAAGACAGGACAGGAACTCACAGTCTCCCAGTTTCTAGCTTGGTGGTTTAATCACTAGACCAAACCAGTTCCTTTTATTGTTCAGCTTTTAAAAACTAGAAATATAGAATGGCATGGAAGCCTATCCCAACAGAATATTGATTGCATTACAGGACCGAGTAGTATAGTTCCTGTTCGGTTTTACAAACCAACCCCTTTATATCTGCATGAGGACTAGACTTCCTGGGGATGACTCTGACTGAATAATCAGTAAATGAGACAGAGCAATTGGATTAGGTATATTTGCAGGTTTGTTGCATTAGATCACCTAATTTAGCCTGTGGCTCAGTGCAGACCAGTATTTATTTACTAAATTTATTCTCCACCCATCTTATCTAGAGGCAAATCTAGGTGGCTTACATCAGAGTAAACACAACAAAATAAAACATTAAAATATTAAGGTCATCAATAGTAATATTAAAATGAAGAAAGATGGCAAGGAAGAGAGCAAAGTACAAACAGTCCATTATCCCGTTCCAGAATGACATGCCCCCATTCAGGGGCCCAGGCCAATTGGCAGAGCCAGGTTTTGAGGCTCTTATGGAAGATTAATAGGGTGGGGACGGATCTCATCTTGAGGGCCACGGGGTTCCAGGGGATGGGTGCAGAAATAAGAGTGGTTTTCTTTCTTTTCCATCCCATTGTGATTCTTTTGTGAAGTGAAAATGAGCAAAGGTACTGGAACGAGTGACGTTACAATCGTGTTTGGTTCATGGGAGTAACATCCATTGCATCTGCATATTCAGCTGAAGGTACTTTTATGCAATGAGACCAATTAGATCAAACCTAAATTCCTTTCATAAATATAGTCTGGGTAATGTTGGTTTAATAGAGATCTTAAGCTGGCTACACTACCGAAGTGGCTTTTCTCCCTTTTGCTTGCTGGCTGAATTGCATGTAGTAGTGACCTCTTTTAGGCAAGGCAAATTCTCTCATTACTCCTCATCTAATAGCTATCCCGGGGTCTTGACAATGATCAAGGCCAAATGCCTTGCCACTTTTTCTTCATGACCTCCTGTCCTTTGTAGCACAATATGTTCCCACTCTGAGATTGTCACATTAGCTTCTAGGTGTTTTTGGGCTGTTGGGTTACATGGGTAAACACTTTCCTGACATACATGCAATGCAGTCATGGTCTACAGTTGTTAATGGTTCTGTTTCCCTTTTTTTTTTTCTTGCAAGACCTGTTGGTGATGAAGCCAGAAAATGTAGGCTGGAAGTACTTCTGTGGGTTGCTTGTGCAGATAAATCTATAAATCTTCTTTATGCTATCTTTAAAACAATAGACCTTGTAAGACTAGCTAATTCTGTATTCCCAACCTTGCTGGCAAAAGCCTTGTTGAGGTTTTTTTTTTTACAACAGAAAAGTTCCAGGAATCATTGTGCTGTGTGCAGATCTGCTCCTAATCTTGTTTGGCATGTGGGATCTTGTTGCCTTGATCACAAGATCACAAGATGCCTTTTATGGTCTCCCTGTGCTTTGACTTCAGGTTATTGAAGTTCATATCCTTTTGCCTTCCTGTATATCTAGTTGCTTCTATGGCACAGAAGTGTGAGTTCTTCAACCCCCTACTCCAATTGGCTGTGGCTAGTGACCTTGCCCTACACTTCACCAGACCCACTAGGAACTCAGTCCCATGAAAGACACAGCATGTAAATACTCTGTTTTTCTGTTCACCATCACCTCATTTTCAAAATTTGTTGAGTGGAAATATAATATTCAGACTGCCATAATCTGTTACCTGAATCTTTGAATGTGTCGATGTCTGAATAAGACAACTGCAAAATTTCTGTTGCTAAGCAAGATACATGTTAAGTGAGTTTTGCCCCATTTTACAACCTTTATTGCCACAATCAAGTGAATCACTGCAGTTGTTAAGCTAGTAAAACAGTTGTAAAGTAAAACTGGCTTCCCCATTGACTTTGCTTGTCAGAAGATTGCCAAAGGTGATCACGTAACCCTGGGAGACTGCAACTGTCAAGTGTCTGAATTTTGATCACGTGGATTCTGCAACGGTTGTTAAGTGTGGTCATAAGCCACTTTTTTTCAGTTTCGTTGTAACTTTGAGTAGTCACTAAATGCATGGTTGTAAATTGAGGACTACCTGTATCACCAAAACAGTTTCAGAGAATGCACTGCGCTCTTAAAAAAAAAAGGAGCTGATCATAGCAAGCCAGGTTATATTGAAGATGCAGAAGAGAAAGGACAAATGCATACACCTTGCAGGCTTAATATAAATGCATAATAAAAACATACAACTTACAGAAGCCACTGTATTTAGAGTATTAAGGAGAGAGCTGGGTATTTCTGAGGATAGTGGAATTAATTAGTATATAGTCAGATATATTTGTCAAGGACTGAGTTCCTCTGTGGTCCTTCAGAAACTGTTGAAATAAGCATTACCTATGCATCTTAGGGGGTCTAAGACTCAGCAACTTTGGGAAAACGGGAGCATTCTCCATTTTTGCTGCACCAGCAGGCCAAATGGAAGGAAGGCATGCTAGTATGGGATTTATTAAATGTTAAAAATACGCATGTGGTCATATTTTGGTCAGAAATTAATAAACTCACCCTGCACTCAGGAGCAGATTTTCTTCTCTATAGAATGCAGAGGCAGAAGCACAAGGAAGCTGGCTTTGGAGTATATGCTTACAAATGGAGTTTTAAGAAATAATATTTATTCTGCAGAGTTTCTTTGCATAAATTATTTTGATGTCCCTTAGGGACACTTCTCTCTCTGGTGTCTTTAAAATTTATATAAAGAGCACATTTTGGCAGGGGAAACTGCTATTATGCAAGTGCTAGATTACTCTCTTGAAAACCATTATAAACACCTCTGCCAATAATCTGAGCCGTTCGGTGAAGGCTGCAGTTCTAAGAGGAACTAACAGACACGCTCGTCTAGAATACCCCCAATATTTACATGATATATTTTTTTAAAAGTCTGCCAAAAACTGACTGTGCTCTATCTCAAAATGAAATCTATACATTTTATCATCCCATATCAAATCAACTGAAATAAAGAATACAGGAAAAAAGATCCACCTTTTATTCTGCTCCTACAATGAGTATTTAAAAAAACAACAACAGAGATATGATAGGGAAGGCCAATCTTCTCAAGTTTTCCTGTCTTTGCACACCAGACAGCGTGTTCCTCTCTGCTGCCTGTAAATTGGCCTACGAAGTTTCTCAGCTTGCCCGTGGAGCGATCAATCAAAAGAGTTTCTGAGCTTTGTTCAAAGTGAATTAAGCGGAAAAAAAGAACATCAGACTTCTCTAGTTCAAGTCACAGCTCTTGCGATCCATGTTGTAGCCAACATCTTAAATCAATTCTGGAACTTGCTGGCTTGTAATGAGGCCACTCCAAATCTCTTGGAAGAAAAACCGAGCGGGATGGACTTCACTGAGGCCATTTGTCTTGAGATCTGTGGGTGCACCAAAACGCCCCTTGCAGATTCAGCCGGACACATAAATAAAAAACAACAACAACCCTGAAGCAAAAAGAAAATATTAACAGTGCCTCGGTGAACCTGCATTCTATTCAAGGACATCCCCCCCCCAAATATTCTCAGATTCGAATCAGAGTTTTAGATCTTAACTCTGTACTGATGGGAGATTCTCATTCGGCTCATTTGCTGTCCTTCTTTCCAGAAAGGATATCTGTAATCCAGTAGCGAAACAAAGAAGAGACTGCTGTGACTTGATCTACGAAAGAGAAAACAAATTCTTCACAAAACGTGACAATGTTTTCAGCAAGCCTGTTATCTTATGATAGAACTAAAAGTCCTTTAACGAAACATTTCAAGAACCTTGGTAATTGTTTTTCAAAAATCTTCAACCGGTTGATCTCCAATACAAATTGCTTCCAGCAAAGAGCTTTCCAGATTTATACCATGAAGTACTGGACTTTTCCACATTACCACTTTGATCTAGTAGTTAAGGTCCTGGAATCTGAGAGGGGAACCTGGATTCTGATCCTGTCTTAAGTACAGAAAGCAACTGGATGGTTTGTGGCCACTCACTTTCTTTCAGTCCTGGGAAAAAGGCATTAACAAACCTCCTCAAAAAATGCTGCCTAGATAGATTTGTCTGTGTAATTACTGGGAGTCAAGGCTGAGTGGAAGACTAAAAACAAATAAAACCCCCACACCAGTGATGGCGAACCTTTTAGAGACCGAGTGCCCAAACTGCAACCCAAAACCCACTTATGCATCGTCGGGTGCCGGGTGGGTACGGCCCATTGGATGGGTGTGGCCCATTGGATGGGCGTGGCTGCAGTGGTAACAGCAGACTGGGTGGGACTAAAAAGTTCAATCAATCAATTCCAACTTTGCAAGATCTTTTTTTTTTTCCGCAAGAAGTTGAAATTGACTGATTGATTGAACCTTTTTTTTTTGCACACGGTGGCGGAGGCCTAAAGCGAAAAGGTTTTATAAAACCCAGCTGAAGGCCTAGGACTGGGGCGACGGCGCACGTGCCCACAGAGAGGGCTCTGAGTGCCACCTCTGGCACCCGTGCCATAGGTTCGCCACCACTGCCCCACACCATTCTTTCCAATGTATTGCTTTCCATTTTCAATATACAGTACTTGCCATTCCCCTATGCCATTAATTGCACAGGTTTCCTTTCAGTCCTCAGTTTTATTGCCAGTCTTGCCCCCTTCTCCTTTTTTGGGGCTAAACATTTCCTCTGTATATTTCCCCACCTTTGTCTGCCAGTATACTGTACATGTTTTTTTAATTCTCTTTCCTCCCTGTCTCTGCTTTTTCGTTTCTCCCTGAATGCCTTCTTGTTCTTTACACCTGGGAGGCAGCACTGGCTCGGATTTCAAAAGCTTTCTGGAAGACCTGACCCTTTCCAGTTTCTGCTGTGGTCCCGTTGCTAGCAGTAAGTTTCTTAAAACATTATTCCGGAGGGACTGAGATCTTTGAAAAAAACACCACCAATAACAATTCCATCCCTCCTTTAACCTCTGCTTAAACTGATCTTCTAGTTAGGACTCCTAGTTCCTTAACACTTATCCAGTTCAGTTCTTTGATTTGGGTTTCTTACTCAAAAATCTCTTTTAATATCTGTTTTTCCTATTCTCCCTCTTTTGCTACTTCTCTTTGAATCTTTAACGTAAAATCCTCTCTCTTTTTGCAATTCATTAGTTCCCCCCCTCCCATTCCTGCCTTTCCCATCTGTTCCTTTATTTTTTAAAAAATAGGAATCAGTACATAGGCAAATTCTTGTTTGGTTTTAAACTTTAGAGTGGCTAGTAATTTACACATTTTATCAATGAAGTATGATTAGACACAACTGTGATCTGCCCCAAGTTTGTTTACTTAAAATCATGTTGTTTCCAGGTATGCAGATGCATGCAAATCTGAACTTTTTATTTTTGCTAATAGGGCAGAGGGGGAAAAAAAGAATACCTCTACGTATTAGATAAGAGGTGTAACTGAGAATAACCCAGAAATGTTGCTTGCAGGGAAATTCCTTGAATATCTGATGGAAGGCTACAGGCATGAAAAATGTGGAGATGTGCATCAGAAGCCCATAACAAAACC